GGGAGGGGAGGGGGAGGGGCTCCTCTTTGTGTCATCACTGTCATGTTCTTCCACTTTCATTTTAAGATTCGTTTATTAAGGCACAGTTTGTTAAACTGCAAAGTTAAGATTATTATAATATAAAACCAACAGTGGGTCAGACTTTATGGGTCTGGGTGGGCTATGGACATACCAGGTGGGGTCATCACGCTGGCTCAGATGTAATCCAGTTACAGCACAGCCTTGCTCTCCCTAACACGCAGCTACTGCTTGAACTGTTCTGATAATTCTCCTTTGCTCTGCTAGGTCTACAGATCGGGTGAAGCTCACACAAAATGCCACTGTTCCATTGGTGAATAACTTTAAAACTGGGTCTTCTGGGTCTTCATAGCAAAAATGGCTTGAATCTATTATGATCTTAGTAGCGATGTTATTAATTTGGGCCATGTGTACTCAACTGTTATCTTTTCTCATTTACAGTTGATTCATACTCAGATGGTCTTTTTTAACAATCTAGCACCTGTTTATCATAATCCCCTGATTGCCTCCAATGCCTTCACATTGGCAATGGTAGAAACCCTAAGCTCCTCTATATCCCCAAGTTCAGCCAGAAGCAGTCAAATTGGCTTGATGTCATCTCTTAAGTGATTTTAGGGTTTCCACTCTTGAGAGAACATTAGGTAGCTAGGTTGATATCAGCAGGCTTAGAAGCCATTGACGACAGACCTTCCTCCTCCAAAATCTCTAATGCCAGAGACTGTTCTGACACCGTGTGAGAGCACTGAACTTGTGTAGCTGAGAAAACGACAACTATGCCTTCACCTAACTAAATAACACAGAAGTCAGGATGTCAGCCAGGGCCATAGCACTTTGTAAACTCCTTCACTTTGGTTGAACTGTGACAGTCCCAGTAATGACAGGAATTTGGTTCCTAGAAGTAAGTTAACTCACTTCTCTAGATTCTTGATTTCTCTGCCCTAGGGAACCCCAGGAAAGATGTTTATTGGTCATCTAACATTCCTTAATTGACTCCTCACTGGGTATTCCTAGCAATGACCAACTGTAAGCCAGAAAGGAAAGTTTTCAACTCGCTGCCCAATACCCTTTTTGCCCTACAACTGCCCAGCTTGTTAATAGATTGTAGGCTGACTCTTTTTTTTCTTTCTTTTCTGATTTTTTTTTACCTTATTTTTTTCCTTTTATTTTATTTTACAATACTATTCAGTTCTACATATCAGCCACAGGTTCCCCTGTTCTCCCCCCTCCCAGCCCCTTCCCTTTCCCCCAGCCCATCCCCCATTCCCACCTCCTCCAGGGCAAAGCCTCCCCCGAGGATCAACCTGGTAGACTCAGTCCAGGCAGGTCCAGTCCCCTCCTCCCAGACTGAGCCAAGCGTCCCTGTATAAGCTCCAGGTTTCAAACAGTAGGCTGACTCTTGAAGATATCTCCCTCTGCAGGTCCCCTACAAATAAAGGCCTGCACCGTTGTCATTAAATAACTCGGATTGGCCAGTGGCTAGGCAGGAAGTATAGGCAGGACTAACAGAGAGGAGAAAGGAGGGAACAGGAAGACAGAGGGAGTCACTGCCAGCTGCCGCCATGACAAGCAGCATGTGAAGATGCCTGTAAGCCACGAGCCACATGGCAAGGTATAGATTTATGGAAATGGATTAATTTAAGCTATAAGAACTGTTATCAAGAAGCCTGCCATGGCCATACAGTTTGTAAGCAATGTAAGTCTCTGTGTTTACTTGGTTGGGTCTGAGCGGCTGTGGGACTAGCGGGTGACAAAGATTTGTCCTGACTGTGGGCAAGGCAGGAAAACTCTAGCTACACATAATAATTTTAAATGGGTATAATAATAATTATTTTAATAACTTGAAAAGCACTTGTGATGCTAAATTAAATAAAAGCATTTTTTCAAAGCACTAAAACATTTGTCTGTATTTATATCACTTGCTTTATGTGTTTCATTCATTCCTCATGTATTTTGACCCATGAGTCTCAATCTTATTTCACAAAGAGAAAATTTAGCAAATTATTATTATCTTCATTTCTAATGTCCATTTTTCTTATTTTGGTTACCATTCTTATCTCAGTAGCAAGATGATTGCAGAAATGTCAACAAAGTGGCCTCAGCCAAGTGACTCAGACAAATAATCTCCAAAGGGTTCTCTCTTTCCCAGGGTATCCAACTGTATTCTGTCTAGCCTCATCTTTGTTCTCCTATTAAAAATTTCCACTTCCAGGGCCCAAGGAAAATGTAGTCACTTCATTACACAGCATCCCAGCAACGGAGAGGTCCCTGGTGTGGGCATGAATGAGAAGTGGTTATGAACACAGTGTGCGAACTGTGAAGCACCAAACACGTGGGTAATGCCCATGTTGGTGGTGATGGTGATGACAACGTCAGTGATAGTGATCCAGAGCAGTCTCCTAACCCCAGATAAACAGGAAAGACCATGAACGACGGCTCCCTACCTGAGTAGGAGGTATACGAAAGGAGTCAGGGCAGCCCTGAGTGAATGTCCCACAGAGGGAAGCCAAGACTGGCTGATTAAGATGCTGATGGTTCCCTGTCACTCCTGTCGAATCTGAGAGCTACAAAGAGCTTTGGCTCTCTGGCACACTTTGTTTTAGCTGCCTCACTCCCAGCCTCGTATGCCTCCTCTCTTGTGTACATTCCTCTTCCCACTCCATCTGGGGGGCTTCCATTCTCTAGACAATAGGTGTCAGCATTGGTCAGCGGGATGTGCAGAAAGGCGGGACAGGATGGCGAGGAAGGATGTTCACAATCCCCCATTTGGTTTGAATGCTTTGAATATATTTCCCCAAAGTCTCGTGCCGTTGATGTGGTCCTCAGCATGGTGAGGTCTACCGAGAGTAGTCTGCATCCTGAGGGCATCACCCTCTTGAATGCTGTTACTGCAGAAGGTGAGTTCTTATAAAAGCAACGGTGTTCACTCTCGTTCATCTCTTCTTTTCCTTTTGCCTTCAGCCTTCCACCCTAGGACGACCCAGCAAAGCCATTGCCTGGTGCCAATGCCTGGGCCTTAAGCCTTCATTCTCTAGAACTGTGAGGGGGAAAAAAAAAGAAAATCTCATCATAAATCACCCACCCTCAGGTATTCTAGTTCATCTCTACAAAACCAAGGCAGACACTCCAGAGAGCTCCATGGCGTACCCCCTTACAGCCCACTGGCTGCCCACTCTGTGTTGGCTGAGTTCTTGGGAGACAGCTGTCTACTTGGGAGGATACCTGGGCTTGTTCTGAACCAGCAATTGACTCTATGTGTGACTGTGCTACGTCAGTCTTGTTTCTTGTGTGGCAACTGGGATTAACCGTACCTACACTATCTTCCAGAAGTTATAACTCTGCAGGCTGAAGCTTAGCTACCTTGCTTTAGGGACATTTTTAAAAACAGAAATTCTCACTGCTCGTTTCCTATTGCTTTCTTAAAATGTCAGTCTAACTCAAAAGTTCAGTGAAGGGTTACCCTATCGATGGAATGCCCCAGGATTGTTCACTCCTTCAGCAAATATTTCAGTGCTTACTAGTCACCAGGTGATGTGCTTGGCTCTGGTGCTCTGGAGGAGACAGAGAAGGTGACATCATAGAGGTTCATGAGTTTCTGCATTGTTTGGAGCGAGTACTTAGTAAAGCACCCTTCACAAGTACCTGCAAGTAATCCAGGTACTCCGCATGGGCAGTTGTAATCCCATTTTGGTGGGAAGATAAAAAGAAAAGATAAAGATAAAGATAAACAAAAAGGCATCAGGGGGAAACAGGCACTGGGGAAATTGGGTTTTAAAACAAACAACAAAACAAAACAAAAGGCAAATATTAACATTCCGAAGAAGTCCTTTTTGTTGTTATTCTTCTAAAAAAAAATGGGGGAAAGCATTTTGCTATTTTAAATATATGAAAATATACCCAAAATGATATGAATATATGAATATATATATAGTCACGAGAGCAAAAACCTGCCCGCCAGATCCTAGGCTAATGAATTCTCTTTATGTTTAACCGTGGTCTTCAGTTCTTCCATGAGCCTGAAAACGCCCTTCATTTCTGCAAATCCCGCTGTGCTGCAGACTGAGATTTCACTCTTCCTCCCTCAAACTCCAGCTCCCATTATTTCCATGTAGATGTGGCCCAAACCTCATTCTCTCTCTCTTGTGTGTACGGATGTGTGTGTTTACATGTGTTGAGACCCACGCCATGCATCCTTTTCTATTTCTCTCCACCTTTTTCTTCTTCATGGGGGACATTTTATAAATGTGTGTGTCATCTTTGAGCAGGAGGCATGTTAATACTCTCTGTATTGTTCCATACGAGTATTATGCGCTGCCAAAATGAGCACTGCTTTTTTTTTAATTAAAATGTATTATTAGTATGTTACGGGGGAGCACGTGTGTGCTGCAGCATGGATGTGGGGGTCAGAGGACAACCTTGGGCAGCTGGTTCTCCTCTTCCATCTTGTTGAGGCTGTCTAGCTGTTGCTCCCCGCTGTAGCTACATCAGTCAGGCTCGCTGGCCCACGTGCATCCTCTCAATTCTCCTGTCTCCACCTCCCAGTGCTGCGATTACCCATGCACGCTACCACATCTGGCTTCTTTAAACCTTGTTTCTTGAGCTAGAATTCAGGTGTGTGCAGCAAATCCTCTTACCTGCTGGACCATCTCCCCAGCAGCACCTCCTAACACTGCATTAGTCTTATTTTTGGAGACAGTGTCTCTCATTGACCCTGGAGCTTGTCATTTCAGCTCGGCTAGCAGGCCAGTGAGGTCTGCTCCCCAGCCACTCCTCTGCACCCTCGTAGCTTGTGTTATAATTTGCTGTTTGCTGGCGATCGTGAACCCACACTCGTACAGCAAGCACTTCGCACACTAAGCCTTTCCCCCAGCCCCTTATTAACATTTTAAAGTGTAAAATCGGGAAAAGTTTAGCAGCTCAAAACTAAAGAGAGATCTAAGAGAATGCTTTGCGATCTGCTGTAAGACCGAACATTCTCTCGTGTGTTTCTGCAGCTTTGGAGGGCTGAGCTCTCACCAGGTTGCTTGCCCCGCCTTGAAAGGGGGTGGAGGTGGGGGGGAGAAGGCTTTTGCTCTCTCTCAGCCCTGCATGCTCACTGCAGAGTTGTAGCCCAGAAGAGTCTGTTTCCCATGTGGTCAGTGTGGCCTCCCACAGGAAGCTCCAGCTTTGAAGATGCAGGCTCTCACATGAGACCATGCCGGAGGGACATTGCGTTCCTCTCCTCTTCTGGAGCGTGGCCTGATAAAAGGCTATCATCTCTCTCCTCCGGTTAAGAGCTGGTGGATAAGGGGTCAGTTTGTTTCACCTTGGGGAGGCTAGAGGTAACAGATTGCAACATTAAACAACAGAACCACATGGCTTCAGATTTCCTCAGGTGAATGCAAGAGTAAATGAACAGAATGGGCAGAGAAGATGTTTTTTTTTTTTTATTAAAACAATCAAACAAACAGACAGACAGACAGACAGACAGACAAAATGAAACAAAAACAACTAACAAGCAACAGCTCCTGTAAAACCCAAACAAACAAACCACTTATTGACGTATGTGACACACACACACACACACACACACACACACACACACACACACACACACAGAGATAGAGATAGATAGATAGGTAGATAGATAGATAGATAGATATCTGATGTTCTAGTTCCTGACAGACCCTACTTAGGTTTATATAGAGGATCAGCTTTGCTCATGAAGATAGGAATATATAGGTGAATAGATTGGACACCAATCCAGCTAATATTCATGTGTGCATGTGTGTATGCAATGTGTGTGTGTGAGTGCACATGCGTGCACACAGTACATATGTGTGGACATGCCTGTGCCAACCAGAGGTCAGCCTCAGGTGTCATTCTTCAAGAACTGTCTGTCTTGTTGGGGAAGAGGTTTTTTTTTTTTTGTTTGTTTTGTTTTGTTTTTATTTTTTTGTTTTTTTCCTTGGGACCCGGAACTTACCAATTAGCCTAGGCTGGCTACCAGCAATCCTCAGAGATCCACTTATTCCCGCCTGTTCGTGCTGGGATTATCAGTGTGAGTCACCATGCACAGCTTTTCACACAGGTGCTGGGGATCGAACTCAGACCCTTGTGTTTGGGCAGCAGGCACTTGACCAACCAGCCTGTCTCCCTAGCACCACACTATTCTTTTTCTGTGAGACCCCACATTTTCCTGTCTGGCCTTGCAGTTAAAACTGCACCTTCTGGCAGTGTGTGCTAGGCGGGCTCCACCCCCAAAGCCCCCCCCCCCCCCAATGTGTGCTGCTCCACAGACTCTATGATGGTGCCATTTGACTGAAGGTATCTTGTATTTTTCCTCCAAGTGATGAGCATCCGGAAGACCCCCTCCTTCCCACGGATAGCAGAAGGCCTCAGTACCTTATGGACGTGTTATGGAAAGTCAGGAATCCACCCGGTATCATAGGCTTGGCCAGGAAGAACCACTCCTCCCCTCCCAGGATTGCCGACTGGCCATGAAACCAGAGCAGGTAGCTTAACCTGTTTCGTCCTTGTTGTCTGTATTTGAACCATCTGGGATTTTTGCCTAGATAAACTCTGAGATCCTTCTTGGCTCTGACATCTCATCACCTGTGTTCTGTCCGGACCACAGCTGACTTGGCTTCAAACAGAGCCACATTATCATGGCAAGTGCTGTTTGTGGGTCCTACGACCCTCCCTCCACTACTGTGAGATCTAGGATCCCTTCCTTGTGCTCGTGTGACCCCATATGGCCTCTGCCATGGTTCTTCTTTGGCTATGCCCCTCTTACCGACATTCACTGCCCAAGAAGTCACTTAAGGACCACTAACAGCACTGTTGCCAATGACATTCCTGATGCCTGCCAGTGCCACTGTCCCCAAGCTATAGACCAATGAGAGCTCGGTATGCCTCAAATGCCTCGACGTCGGTACAGAGGAATGGGACTTCTTCCTAGTGTCAGCTGCCTATGCCCCCTGGTGTCCAATCGGTCATGCAGTTGACATCCCATCTGGCTTCTGGAACGGACTGTTGTACCTTCAGTTCAGAGCTTTCTTTCCTTGGGGCTGTGGGAGGGCTTTGCTGAAGTCTGGGAATTTGAACTCTGCTCTGTGGAAGGAGCTATGTTGCCACCAAAATCTCCCTCTCAAGTGATGCCTGCCCCACCTATCAGTCACCCCCCTCCCCCAGAGATCTGAATTCCTGTAAGGAGCACTCATTAGACTGAAGTGGGAGGGCTTTGATATGCTATTTAAGGGGAAAACAAGAGAATCAGGAATTTTGAAGCTATTCATCTTGAAGACTATTCATGGAAGCAGGGGAATTAAACACTGTATCCTTGAATGTATACCCTCCGCACATGAGGCTGGGCTATTGTTTTCTTCATAATGACAGTATCCCTCTGGGGGGTTGTGAAGTGGGCAAGGGCGTCTGCTCAGCACAATCGCACAGCGCCTATCAGGTATCAGAAGGAAACAAACGAGAACAAAGCTGCATTGTCAAGAAGCCTCCCTGCGGGCTGACCCAAACTCAGCAGAACTCAGAAAATTATTTTGGAAAATATTTCCTATACAGCTGCCTGTGGCTATTCAACCTGACTCTTAGTCAGCCTGGACTGGAAGAGGAAAACTACTGATTGCCCAGGCAAGTGGCCTCCGTGTGTCGTTGTTCCATTAAAAAGACACATGCAAACAGAAGAGTAAGGAAAGTGGACAGGGCCACAGCTCAGAACTTTTTTTTTTTCTAGCTCTAAGAGCAGAAGCCATTAAAGTCAAAGAGATTGATCTAGTTTAGCGCATGAGTTGGTATTAAAGAGTTCCTGCCCGGTTATCTGTTCACTTGGTTAATTGGGGGTTCAATGAAAGTTGGAATTTACAGAGGCAAAAGGGAACCCAACGGGGTGAACCTAAGATCTGTGTTCAATGTGACTCGTTGCCTGAAAAGATTGTCAACAATCTGTGATTATCAACAACTCTGTGATTATCAACAACTCCTGCTTCTTTTGATCATTGCATAAGCAGATGGGATGCACTCGTAGAGAACACAGAGGGCGTTATGTATTGTGACTGTTTAAGCTAAAGTTTGAATCAGGATTCTGTCAACAAATCAATTCATTCCTTTAAGCTTGTAGAGGACAGAAAATTTGGAGGAATCCTATAGAAAAGTGCGAAGATGAAACTCCATATGGAAAAGATAGACCAGCCACTCAAGAGTGAGTCACCTCGTGTGGATGGTGGTGACCTCTCGGAGTCATTTGCTCATTCATTTACCCATCCAGTCACTCTGTTCCTATTTGTGGGGCCCCTGCGATTTGCTAAGGGACCAAATAAAGAAACTCACTGCTTCCAGGAGCTTTCAGCCCGGCGGGAGAGGCAGCCCAGCAGAACAGATGCATTATATAATGGTCCTTGTTCGAGGAAGGAGAAGCACAAGGTGCTACAAAAACAAATAGCAAGAGTGGTCAAGGGTTAGAAAAATTTCCATGAGGAAAGCTGAGCCTCCCGAGGGATTTAGCCAGATGCAGGGGGTGGGGAGCTGAGGGACACTTAGGCAGGAAACCATAGCATGAGTGACAGGAGAGGCAGCCAATGAAATCACAGAGAAATGAAGTAAGCCATGAGTACAAGTGAGCAAAGGTAAACCGCAGAGGGAACAAAACAGAATCAAACCCAGCCACGGAAGGGTAAAAACCTGCTCCTGAAAGTCACCAGCTGCCGCTGGGGCGTGTGTGCAGGACCTCTCTACCACCCTGCCCTTGGCTCCAGCCACACGGAAAGTAGTAGACTTTTCGTGGCAGGAGGAGCCCACGTCCTCCACTGCACACCCCCAGGCTGATACCCTGGGGCAGAAGGATGCCGTGTACTTTTATTCATTTGAAGACAAGGACCCACTGTGTAGCTCAGGCTGTTCTCAAATTCATGACGTTCCCGTCCGAGCCCTCCAAGTGCCACAGTCCAGGGGTATGGCACCAGGTTAAGTTGGTGAGTTCTTTATAATGTGAATGCCATTGTCGAAGCGGAGAACAGTGATGCTAGAAGGAGGGATAAAGCTAGAAAGACTGAGTACCTGTGATGGAACAGGTAATGTCAGGACACATTGTATGTCTTATTTTATTTAATATCCCAGGGCATATTCATATCCCGAATGATGAATAGTATTATATTCTAGAGGAGACCCGTGCCCCTAGGAAGGAGAGTAATCTGGCCCCAAAGAGGAAAGTGGAGACAAGCCTGCTCAGCCTAGGGTGGCTTCCACACCATGGGGTTTCAGAATTCCCACTGTGCTCCACCTTGCTGGCAAGATCCACAGCCCATCGGGTCCAGACCCTTTACTGTCCACATCAGG